TGCCCCGTGCCACGTGGGGGGCTCTTCCATCAGCTGCCTGAAGCCACTTCAGGGCTTTTCTCATTTTGTTATTTTTCTTAAAGGGCCGGGGCTGGAGCGAGTGGGGCAGCCATAGGGGAGTCTGGGGAGCAGGGGGAAGGTCAGGGGCCTCACGCAGAGCCTCCCACGCAGTGTGAGGCAGCGGGGGGCAGAGGGGATCGCTCCCCAACCTGGCAGCACCTAGTGAGTGGGGCTCTTTTTTAAAGCACCAGGAGCTGGGGCGGGCAGAGCAGGCAAGGGATGGGGGCTGGCAGAGGTCCCCCCACTCCCCCACCCCATACTTACCAGCTCCGAGTCCAGCTGCAGCTCCCTGCTGCAGCCACTGGGGACTGTCCAAATCATCGAAGCTCTCCGAATCTTTTTCGGAGAGCTTCAGATCAATTCATACCTTTTACATGGTCCCCTGATTCTATTTGGATTCAAACATTCAGCCACTGAATCGGGATGAATCTCCTCCAACTCGAATCACCACCCAAAGCTTCACACAGCCCTACTGTTTTCCTCTTAGGCTACGGGTAGTCCTCTTAGTCCCCCTCGCTGCTCCCCTCTTCTCCTCCTCCCTCCTGCCTGCCCTGCTGCCTTCTGATTCCTGCTAGGGCACTGCAAGGCTTCCCTTCCCCACTTCCCTGTCACACTGAGCTGGCCCCAAGCTAAAGGATAACTGGTAAACTATCGGTTATCATTGCACTCATTGGTTAAATGATTAATCATTTAACGTGTCACATAACTAATTGCTATAGACATATCTATGCATTTTTAAGCCTTTGGTAGGCATGCTACATAAAGAACAATCTTAACTGTCACACAACAGGATTTTGTGTAATGTATCATAAATGGGCAAAAAACAGGGCAACAGGCCCATTATTTTTGTATCTCATTTGAGAAAACTTGCACTAGCATCTCATAAAGCAGGCTGTTACCTACTGAAGTTCATGCCTCTCTGAACCAGTTAGTCTCTAAGGTACCACCTTGCCCTACCTTCTTTCCCCAAAAAGTTTAAAATTATAAGCTTCATTTTTCAATGTCCTGCCTCCTAAAATCATAAAATGGTATTGACACATGAGAATGGACCTTTGTGGATTTTTAAAGCACCCCAGGGAACCCAGTAGAACAGCTATAACAATTTAAGGGAAACTAAAAGAAATATTCTAGTAAATAGCATAAGCTCAATTTTCACAAATGGGCTCCTTAATATGACATCCAAAAATACATTTAGACACCCTAACTTCATAGGGATGTAAACTGTGCACATCCATAGTTTAAACAAATGAGAGTAATCCTATTTAGGACACATGGCATGTGAAAATTAGCCTTCCCAAGTAGCTCCCAAGTTCCCCAACAAAACCTCACAAGAGTATGACAATTAAAATAGTTATGATCAATCTATGTTTCGTATAAATAATACAGAGGGAATTTGACAGTCATATACTGAATCAGGCAACTTGCCTCACAGTTCTTCCTAAAATACCATAAAGTAAATGCAATTTTTCTCTTAACTCTAAATTTCTTCATGTTTAATGCTGCAAACTCTAGGTTATACTTGGAGGCTCTGCACACAGAAATGTAACTGCCCTGCTTCTCAATGCAACGGAGATTTGATGCCTAAGGTTCTGACACGCTGTGCTGCAAAAATTTATTCCTTGTTGTTATTTTCAGTGTCTCCTTTCTCTCTCAAAATATTTGCTAAAATAAAACATGCAGATTAACAGAACCAACTATTTAACAGTTAAATGAAATCATCTTTTCTATGCAGCAATAATTTCTATGCATTAGAAGTAAGGCAACCACAGCAGGCAGAGTTAATAAAAGAACTGCACTGCACTGCTGGTGAATCAGACTCTCTGCACTGTCTGCTTTATTATACCGAATAATCAACTACCCAAATACACAAAGCTAGTTTTCAAGGATGCTTTACATACCTCAAAATCACACAGCAAATCCTGAAAGGCTGTTGAATTTGGAATAATGGAGGTTTCATGCCCACTGTCAACAGTTCCTACCAAGGAAAAGGTCAGATGGAGTATGTGGCTGTTCAAAAGGGAGCGTTTCTTCTTTAGCAGCATTGCCAGTAACTAAAAAAAAAAAAATAGGAGCACAGGAAAATTCAGTAATGTCATCTTCTTATGTCAACACTAAAGGCAAGAAGACTTTTCAAACCTTATGAATTTGATTAACATACTTTTGTGATGTTCTAGAATCACCATTAAAAAAACATGCATCAATCACAATTCTTCACTAACTTGCAGCAAGATTAGGTTAGAATCCCAGGGAGCATTCATATTCTAGAACATTTTGTCCCCAGACAAAGAGCAGCAAATTTCTAGAAACCTCATTAACTCTAGGGGGGTATATGATCAATTCTCCCAAAAGTTGAAAGTAATCTAAAATAGTAACTGATGACATATAACAGTATTGTGTACAACTGACTGGGTGCTGCCTTGTGGCAACCCAACTGGATACAAGTTGAAAGAGTTCTCTCTCACCCTGCATTTCACCCATTCATTACAATGACGGATCAAGTCCCTAGACCCTGATGTAAGCAAAGCATTATAATGATTAGGTTTTTTACATTTTCAAGTAATGTGAATTTTTCCTTTTTTGCAATCAAAGAATGTCACACTCTTGTTTATTGCCTTTCATGCTCCATATCCAATAATTTTACTTGACTTACAGGGGATAACAGTAACTGCTGAGCTAGCAGGTGTCTCATAAATGGAAGGACAAACTATTCATGTATCGCATTAACTCACTTTTTTGTTTTTAGTAAGTTGATAGTTTTAGCTGTAACTGATTTAAAACTCATTTTCCACTCTTCTTTTAAACCATCCTAAATAACTTACATTATTTAGCTAACAGTGAGAGAATCCTAAGGCAGCTATTTATACTATTACAAAAATCATGACAATTATAAATGCATTAAAGTACAAAAGTGTACATGTACTCAGTTATACAACAAATTCAATTAATCTGATCTGCTATGTCTGATTTCTCCATACCTGATAACCTTTGATCCTTTCCATTTCTTTACTGGCTAGTGGGTTGCTCTTTACCACACATACCAAGGCCTTCACAGCTGCATATAATCCCTCTACATCTGATGCCATGGCTACAAGACCCAGAATGGCAGCAGCTCCACCAATATACTGTAATGTAGTGGCAACAGGCTTAGGTTCAAATGTTCTTACTCCTGTGCACAAGGTAGTAAAAAGTAAATTAATTAATCTATTTCACTGTTGTACAGTATTTATAGTTATTATCATAACTGTCACTTAAAAAAAAAAAAATCAAGCTATTAGTGAATTCTATCAGAAGCAGAAAAGAAGGAAGGAAGTAAATTTAGAAGGAACTAAGTAAATTTATTTACTTAGTTTAGTGAAACTGCAGGCCCCATGGAAATTCTTTTTTGATATCTACATTATTTATGAATGGGAAGCATTAAACTAGAAAACACAAATAATTTAAATCAAGGCAATTAATGTAAGACCATCATTTACGGAGCTTTGTACAATTATACAACAAAACCATTTAATACATCTATAAAAAGAGCAAATTTTAATCTCACCCAAATACCCTATCAGAGCCGCCCCAATGGTACGTGCTGGTCCATTCAGATGTCCTGCTGAGTTATGAAGCAGCTTCACTGGAGTGGCATTCTCATGGGAAGACACAGCCAGCTAAACAAGGGTGATCAAGGGAGAAGCCTTTTTATTCTTTGAGAAAAATATACATGAATTTTTCTCATGTGAGGTACCTTCCAGCCCGTTACAATCTATCAATTCATAAATAAGGTCTGAAATAATGACATTTCAGATATTCCCAAAGAGGCCACTGGCAAAATTTATAATCATTGAATTTTGACTTTATCCAAGATTTCTGCCAATCTTTTTCTCTACTAAACAAAATTATAACAACTCTTACAAGAAGAGCTTGTAAAAAAATCACCAACTCAAGGACATTTAATGAAAGGCTTTTTAAAAATTTGATTTGTTAGCATCAACTAACTGCAGAAAGTTTGTTTAGTTGATTTTTAGCTTTTCAGATCAGACCCATCATATCTGTGATCCAAGTAAAAGTTAATAGTCACAACTGCTGTTTACCCTAGGAGATTAACCTGGGTCCTAAAAATATTTGGGTACATAAATAGCCCCAATGAAGTCAGCAGAATTACCCATATGTGCACGATTATTAACATTCAAATTTCACAGGATTTGGCAATTCATAATATTAATTTGTCTTACTACAAGCATTATTGTTTCATAACCCATTTCTTCAATCTTTTAATTAGGAATTAAAACTAACATGAACAAAAAAGTATAAAAAATGATATACTATATTCTTTTACCCCTTTGCTAGTCATTTGTAGTTCTAAGAAACGGAGCAAAATCCAAGAGCATCACCTAATAAAAAAGTTCAGTGCAGTTTAAAAACTTAAGTAAAAAGGAACAGAGAACACTTTTGGTAACAATGGAAATTGACAGGTACAAATTCAGTAGTCCAATATAATCTGATCCTGGATTCCAACAATTACTTCTCCTACCATGCAAAAATGCATGGCAGAACACGCAATTTCTGTGATCAGGGACAAAATTTGTCCAATCATAATTGGGCAACTGCTGGGGCTGGCTTCCTTCAGCTCTCACCACTTAGCAACTTTAAACCAGTGCAGGGGGAGTAGCATGATGCATGGCTTTGTGTGCGCTGGTCTCGGGGAGCTGATGTACTCACCCTACTTGAGAAGTACCTGTGCACTGGGCAGCCCTGTATGGCACCTATAAACTTGTGTACAGGTCAGCCCCACAGACGGATGTCTGGCATGTGCCTTTAAACTTGCCAGAAGGGGAGAGCCCAACTCAGGTTTTACTTAAAGTGCCAGACAAAAATCAGCCACAAAGGTGTTCCACATTAATTGTGGAACATCTTTGTGACTGATTTGTCATTTTATAGTGTGATAAATTGGTTAAACGTGTGACAATATATAGCAGTTTAGACTCCAAACCTTACACTTGTGCTATCCAACTTCTAAGTGCCCTGGGGCTGCATGCCCTGAAGACTACACCAATGGGCTTGCATGCTACATGGGTGTCCCTAACCTCTCCCTACTACTGGACACAAGCACCCCAACTTCACTTCAGATCCCTGACCAAAGACTTCCCCACTGCACCAAGCTACATAGATGCCTCAGGTTCCTCTCTTGTTCTGTCCCAGCCAGTGGGAAGGGGGCAGGAAGTGGAATCCAGGAGGGATGGGGAGTCTGGAGGCACTCGATGCTTCTGCAGCTAGAGTGATGGCTTCCTTGTGGCCTGCTTGCAGCCCACAGGCTGCTGCTTGGACAGCATTCACAATAGTAATTAACAACTGAACTAGGAAGGCTTATATGATTAAGATACTTTTTTAAAACAATTATATTCCTGAATTTAACACCGTGAATTTTTAAATATACCTGTTTGGCAATGGCTTTACTGTCTAATTTGTTGTAAACTTTCCTTATTCTTGCCACTGTAAGTGAAGAAACAGAAAGTGCATAGAGGCCAAATGAGACCTTCTCCTCTGGTACCAAAGACACTGGAGAGGGACTGACTCCTTCTGATTTAGAATCTTTACCTTAAATAAAAGAAAAAGAAAAAAAGTATATCAAAATAAAAATTTTACATTGAAACAGTTCAAGCAAATTATACCCCAGAATGCTCTCCAAATTCAGTGGCTTGAATTTACAGATAGCTAAAGTTGTGTGTTGCCTTCATGTATGGATTGAGCAAAAATACAAGTGTAGATCAATGTAGGTGAATTAAAGGACAAAATTCTGCATACATTTGGATCAAATAAAAGAAAACATTAACATGTATTTTTCTCCATATTAAAGGTTAATTATATTCACCCTTTACTGAGAAATTTTTGCTTTGTGGTATGCACAAAAATTCTCATTTCCCCCCATCTCATTCATTCTGACATGCAGGATGATCAACAGTAACCAGTAACGGATTTTCCTGTTCTCTAGGGCTTCTTTCTTTGATTCCCTTCTGGCCTCCAAGAGTAGTCAGACTTTCCTAGATAAGAAGAGGAGTCTGTCACCAAAGCCTGGTTTTATAGAGCTTGGTAGGGTAAAGTATGAATCTGGACCATGACCAAGGAAAAAAATTAGCCAGGAAATGTAATTATTACATGCCTATCTATTGATCTGTGACAACGGGCGCATCCAGACAAGTGCGCATGTGCCTCTTGCAGCGTCTCAAACCCCTTTGAGATGTTGCAAGAGGCATGTGCAGGAATAAAAAAAATGTTCCCCCTGCTTCAAGTTTGCAGCATGGGGACAAAATTAGACCCCTGGATATCCAGGGGTCAAAAAACCCCCTCCAAACCAAAAAAAAACTGCTCCGCAGAACAGTGGCGCAAGGCGTGCCTGGAGCAAACACAGGGGTCAGTCCTCCAGAAGAGATGCTCTGGTTTCGGCCAGAGCGTGTCTGTGGTGCTCCTGATGCCCGAGGTAAGCTAGGGAATGGGGTGGGGGGGGTTATGGGTGTGGGTGGGCATGTGTGACGAGTGACAGGGGGGTGTCAGGGGGGTGGTGTTGGGAGTAGAGGGGGTTCTTGGGGGCTATGGGGAATGGAGGTGGATGAGGAGCGGCGGGATGTCCCGGTGGGTAGGGACGTGGAGAGGCTCAAGCGGGGGCTGCCACACACCTACCTCCCCACCCTGCCCCTGTGGCGCCGGCAGCAGCAGGCAGCATGGCTGTGGTTCTGCTGCAGGCAGTGTCGCAGTGCAGTGTGACCCAGGCTCCTACATGCTGAATGGACCTGGCCTGGCCTGCTAGTACATAGCCTCGGATTGGCTGGGCCGGGCTGGGTCCATTCAGTATGTAGGAGTGCTGGCAGAACCTGGCGCAGCTTAGTGTGCAGTCCCTGCTAGACCCTGCTGGTACGGTCCCTACTGCAGGAGGTAAGTTATGGCCCTGCATAGAGGGGCTGTGGCCCCACAGGGTACCTGGAATCCTGTGGTCCTGCAGGGTGCCTGGGGCCCTGCAGGGCGGGCAGTCCACTTGCTGTGGGGGGGCTGCACTCCCATACCAACAGTCTCCCCGTAATTGCCCCACACCTACCCCCACACTAACCCACACCCCTCCAAACCCACCCACCCGCCTTCCCCCACACTCCTTCCTAGTCCCTTCCTGCAAACCCCTACATCCCCCATCACACACCCATCATGTATGAAGAAAACCAAAAGCACACATTTACACACACAGATATTTAGAATTAATTTTATTATGATGATAGAGATACTGGTAGGCTTCCAAATTGCTTTAACATTGTAAATATACCAATAAAGCATTGCCTAACCGATCAATCTGTGTGCGCGTGTGTGCGTACGTGTGCAGTGGTGTTTTGTTCTAATTGTGGAAGAACATGGATTTTGGGGTATTTTAAAAAGTGGACTTGGGATGCTGCTACAGCAGTCCAGCTGGCACAAGGGGTAGTGTCCTCAGATATCAATTGGCCGGGCTCCAGAAGCTCCTATGGGAGAGTAGCCCTGCAGTACCTGACAGGGCAGCTTTTTGTACTGTTGGGGACAGCACAGGTGCTGGCCCCAGGCTCTAGCTCCCCCTGGCTGCAGATCCAGGAGGAGTTAGGCAGGGTTATTTTGCCCCAAGTGGCACAATTTGCTTCACAACAAAGTGTATGTCCGGGCATGTGTGCTGAGGCAAAAAGCCCCGGCTCAAATTTGCACCGCTTCTATTTGAGATGCTGCAAGCACACATGCTTTCATGTGTGGACATGCCCAACATGGACACTAGGGGCATTTGTACACATGTTTGCGCTGCAGCACTGGATGCTTTAAAAAAGTGCCTGGTGCTGAGATGCATGCAGCTGTGTAAGTGGCGAACTGCGCATCAGCGCTGAGAAAATTGCAGTGGTGCACTTCAGTTCAAAAGTGCACCACTGCCATTTTCTGCGCACTGACATGCATTTTGCTGCTTATACAATTGCATGGAACACAGCACAGTGTGCATCAGCTTGCATGAAGACTTGATTAACTGAGTCTGCTCCAACCCACTAGATCTCCGGCATGTCATGGGACAAAAAGGTATGTGCATAAATCCCCTAGGTTCTCTGTAGAAGTATCTTGAGAAGCTTCCCATGAAAGAATGAGACCCAAGGCTGAATTAGATGAGGAAACAGAAGGCCCAGAACCAGGCAATAATGCCAAAGAAAACATCCGATTTGTTTATTTTTCACCGGTAAGGGTGAGTTTCTGATAAAATTCTGCTATACCCAAACTAGTGCACTCATACCTCTTCTCTCTTAATTAGCAGGTAGCTAAAGCTCCAGTGTAGGAGGCTCTATTTCACTTGACAGGGAACTTTTGGCCTCCTAAGATTCCTGAATACCAGCCTTAATGCTTTGGTCATGATGACACGTTGATAATGCTTTGGGGACTTTTCTCTTAAGTAAAAAAACTAAAAGACTCCCCGGAAGACTTTTTATCTGAGCATGACCTAAGCCATTCTTTTCAAGAAACTGAACTGCTATCATGGAACCAAAACAAAAGACTTAGGACTTTGGGTCCCAGTCAAAGTGCTCTTGGCATGGGGACCTTCATTTCTTGCAAGAGTGTCAAGCAGGCCCATGCCGCAAACCCGGCTGGGTCAGTTTGGTAATTATGAACCAAGTAGTTCTGTGATGACCAGTTTTCTTCAGAACGCATAACAGACCAAGATAACAATGCGTAATACAGGGGGAAAATTCATGGAATGGCAAGTGAGTCTGAAATCAGAGTTATTATGCCTGGATATTTGCCGTCAAAAGGGGAGCACCCAACACTCTTTACTGTTGTGGACAGGCCCATGACAGGCACACCCCAAATCCTGTGCATCAACCAGAATGTCTCTAGGGTGAGCCTCCTTTCCTTTGTAAGGGATGATTGGTCTTTCACAGCCTCAGACAAATCTTACCTGCTGTCTCTTTCTTTCATAGCTGGGGAAAAGCCTCTGGCATCATGGGGAAAATTTTGTTGTCTTTTAGGAAAGCTCTGTTTCTATATATGCTGAAACTCACCTAATAGAATTGAGGCAGGGTAGGTTACTCTCAGTGACAACAAAAAAAAGTCAGGTCCATATGGGACATTTCTCCTGTAAGTAGCAGCACACTTGATTGTTTTTCCTTTTAGTCTTCTGTGCTTGAAAGCCATGAAACAGCCAAACTTGGACACAGAAATCTGCCTGCATGTCACTTTTAATGAGGAAAAACTCTAACTGCAAAAGCAGGAGAGAGAAGTAGAAGAATCTTAGATGATAACTAGTTATCATCCTGTCACAATGAATGAGAGGGAAATCCCGTTTGAACTGTTGCAAATAGAACTATGGAAACACTTTTCTCAAATATATTTGAACCTTATTTTCCAATGTTTTCAAACTTTGTCAAATGTTATTTCCAAAAATATATATTTTTTTAAATTCTGACAGTACCCACACAACTATCTTTTGCAGCAATAACTCATTAATATTGTTTGCTAACTCTCATTTCATCCTGTATGATTTTATTCTCATCCGAGTTGCGTATTGTTAAATATTATTAAAATTTTAATATAGCCTTGTTTAAATTACTGGAATAAAGACAAGGTTATAAACAAAAATATAACAAGTAGGGTATCACTCTTAAAAAACCCTTTAAGTTCAGGAATTTGAACCCCATTTAAAATTTACATAAATCCTAGATTACTGCATGATTTTAGTTGTACTTACATGGGATATATACTGCTTGAAAGCTTCCAACATAATTTGGTCCCAGCTCATAAACGGTACTAACACTTGAAACTGGCAAAACTTCCTCCAAGAAATGCGTTGGTCCCAAGCGCCATACCAGCAAAGAGAGTTGGCGTTGGGCTGGTGGTGTGCCAATGTAGGAATAAACTGTGCTGACTACTGGTGGATTAGCAGAACCAGACCCACCAGGGCTACTGTGAATATAGTGAAGCTGTAAAATAGAAACATAACAAAGTTATTCTGGGGATATAGGTATAATTTAGAGAAATAAAATAAATTAAAAACTAGGTCTGAAAATCTAGAAATGTTCAAATTGGTCTAGAAAACATTAAGTAATCCTGATTAGTTCACTAACTCATTAACTAAAACCGAATACTGCTCCCAAGGTAATTATTAGGGCTGTGCAAAGCTTTGGTTTCAGATTCGATTCGGAGGAGATACGGCCTGATTCGGTGGCCGAATCTCCGAGCCCAAAGACCAATAAAAAGGTCCAAATTGATTCAAAGCCTCCGAATTGATTTGGAAAAGATTCGTAGAACATTTGAAGATTCGGGCAGTCCCCACTCAACGCTGCAGGGAGCTGGACCCAGAATCTGTGCTAATAAGTGTGGGGGAGGGGGGGGGCCCCACCAGGCCCCAATCCATTCATGCTCCCCCAGCCCTCCTGAGCGTCCCCAAACTCCTGCCTGCTTTCCCAGCCCTGTCAATGGTTGCCTTGCCCGGCCCATGTCCTGGCACTTAAAAAAAA